CCAAACAAACATTTTTGCGCATGTGAAGGATTTTACATGGATATTAGAACATGAGTGAAGTATAAAGCTATGTTTAGGCTACATAATGAATAATAGTTATGTTCAAATGTTACAAATATGGCAAAAATGGAAACATTTGGATTCTTGTGGTAGGCCTATGAGACAGGCTCGTGAGCCCAATGCAGTTTCAGTTTTGTCAGTTCAGTTTTGACATTTGTATGCTGTTTATAATGAATGCCACTATAGCCTAATTTGTGTTCTATTTTATAGTTTAATATATAATTTTATAACTACTTATTTTTCATTCTTGTTCTGTTCTGAATACCGTTAAATTTAAAATATTTGTTGTAGAGTGAGGGGAACTAAATAGGCTGTTTATATTTACCAGTATTTTAATATACATATAAATTACATTCATTAATGTAGCCTAATTGTTTGCAATTACAAGGTTAACGGGTGTTTTTGGAGTAAGATCAATTTCTCTTTCATGAGATTACTTCCTCTTTTTGGCCGGGTTTCGTTTTTCCGTGTCAGGGTGTTTTTAGGAGCGTGATATTCAAATGACGATTGTTTTCTGCCGCCACATTTATCAACATACGATCATTCGTACGATGAGATTGGCGGCATACGAATGTTTCATGAATCACACGTGAACTCTGTCGTAAGTTGATTTGTGCGCACGGATCTGCGCTCGTTTCTACGTTAGATTGATAAATGAGGCCCAATAAGTTTGCAAGACTGTTTCAAGTAACGTTAACATATTCAAATTTACAGTGTAGTTAATAGATAGTTAATCTTTACTTTCTAGCCAAGTTAGCGGTCACACATTTGACCATGTCAAATGCAACAAATATGGGCAACAGGATATGATGTCACACTCTAGAACTTGTTTTTATAAATAATAAATGATGATTTTTTAGTTTATTTTGTTATCCAGTGTGATGTCTGAAGAGCAGGGTGGCAGATGACCGATACAATGCTGAAATATAAATAATTTAATAATGGCACATTAAGTGGTACTTACTTCAAACAAAAATGTGATACTTTAATATTACAAATATGATTTATATATATATATATATATATATATTGGTTGATTGGTTCATCGGTTTATTCACTGGTTTAGTCATAATTATAAAAACAACTCATAATGAATTAAAAATGTTCCTTCACAATCTGCTCCGCCATTTATCTACTCCCTTATACTGCATCCCTGGAAAACGTTAGTGTTTTATTTGTTTATTTATATATTTATTAAAAATTTTCTGTTGAGCCTCTAAATTGTAGATCTTCGATAGACCTTATGTAGCTCCACCCCTTTTCAGTGCTGCCCTTGTTGTCTTCTGTCTTACGTTTGTATTTCCACAGTCTGAAGGTAAGATTGTACAAATTTATTAATGAACCGCTCGTTTTAAAATCTTTCCGGTCTACTTTGTTATGAAATCCGCTTCGAACATTACAATGCACTTGATAACTTTCGTTAACTCTACCATAGGTAAATCCACTTCACTAGCTAACAACAGAGATGCTACAGCACTACTGCTAAAACAGAAGTTTAAAGACAGAATTCTAAAGATGACTGCACTCTTGTTTCTCTCTGGCAGATATAGTCTACTGGTCAACTATCTTCTGCAAGTTAGAGAACATGAACTTTTGTACACAGCAAAACACATTATGCTTGCATTCCTGTTCTACTCATGTGTTTGAATGGAAGTGAATAAACACTTAATCTACTGTAACAGCCCATTGTTTAGAGGACATGACATTTCATATACACCTTGACATGGAACAGACACTGACGCGGGACTTTTACTGTCACTTATAAGCTTCTTCCGCACTGTGAAATGTCAAAAGCTAAATGATATTTATGCAGAAATGGGATCCACTGGTCTAGTGAGTAAAACAGGATCTCTCCAACATGAGGATTGTCAATGGTAATACAGTTTCTAACTTTAACCAACAGCATCAATGAAACATAAATTTGCCTACATAGCATGAGGATGCTGCAGTGATATTACCTGAAATCAGGTGTACACTGTAAAAAATAAATCTGTAAAATAACAGAAAAAGTACTGGCAGCTCATTACACACAACATTATCCATGCATTTTACGGACATTTCTGTTAACTCTAAAACACAATGCAGTGAAGTGTAAAGAGTGTAGAGTGTAAGTTGGCGTGTAGGCAGAAAATTTCTGAAAACGTCACAAAAATTTCCATCATTTTCTGACATTTTCCAAAAATCCTGGAACGTTTCTGGAAATTTCCCACCCTGTGCAACCCTAGGTGGAAGGCTAAGAGTAAGCTAGATTTTTTTTTCATATAATTTGTCAAAAGAAAACTGTACGTCTGATCACTCAAATCTCTGGGAGTCCAATTGTCATCATTAAGGTTAACGAGCCTTAAATCTTAGTCATTTCAATAGCTACTGAACCAGGGTTTCTTTTATTTGCAGTATTTCCACTGTTGGATAATACAAGCAGTTGTCAGAGTGACTCAGGCATATGTTACGTCTCTCTGAAGCATTCTGGACTATTTCAGAGCCATGAATGGAAAGAAATGCGTAAATAGAGGGACTCTTTGCTGATGTTCGGGTCAGCGAGGGTGTAATCCTTTGATATGTGTCAGTAGTTTCCACTTTCAAAAGGTCAGGACTCAAGGGGAATGTTAAACTTTTCTTCCTTAAAGATGAAATACAGCCTTTGAATTATTGATGAATACCCTCTGGACACAGTGCTTTGAATTATGCACATCCACATTAAGTCTTTGTTCTAACACTAGGACTAACTATAATAATGTTGCGGCGGTCTATGGTAGTAGAACAGAGATGTGGAGACTGAATGTAACAGAGTGAATGAATGAGGGGAAGTTCTGGATGACCTTACCAAGCTGCACCAAACCATAAGTTCCCGCTCATTTATGTTTGTCACCGTTCAAGGGAGTTCATTATGGAAAGGTCATATTCTGAATGGCCATTCAAAAAAAGCAGCATGTCTCCTGAGTTCCTCCTCAAAATTGGAAAGTCTGAAACTGAATGGCATGCTAGTTTACTACTTAGTAACAGATACATGTACTACATTGTTTGATTTCTTTTGTGCTTTTATTCTAATTATCAACAGTAAAGGTGAAGTGTGTGATTTCTTCACTAAATGGAAGAAAACTCTGCTTTTGGTTCATTCATCACTCTGGAAATGAAAGGTCAAGTCAAGCGCATTGCATTGTGGGATGCAATACCATGCATAGTGTTATCTTGGTTGTATACCACACTTTTTAGTAAACCTAACAGATGATCTGAGAAAAAATGAGCATACTGTGCACAGTATACCTACTATATGCTACTGAAATAGTAGGAATAATACAGTTCTATGATATCAGAACGTAGTTGTAAATCATTCATGTTGTCTATTTTTATGAAAAGTTTTGCATCATCATTATTACTCTTAAAATGGATTTAGGAACATATTTGATAGTTACCTGTAGCGTAGAAGTCAATATGAGCCATATTTAACCTATTGGGACCAAATATCCTAAAATATTTCCCCATTTTTGACTCAAATTATCAAAATGAAACCATACTAAATGTAGCTAGAAAAGACAAACTTCAATTCGCTAGCTTTAAGGCATGTTATCATTCTCTTCCTCTGCTAATACTGCACTTGTACTAACTTTGCCACCAAAAACTGGATGAAATAATGAGGATGTTGTGAGTGTGAATTGTTCACAACAAGATAAATAACATGCATTTAGAAAATAGATCATTTTCATTCCACTTTATAAGGCTTCCTGCTGGTTTTTACATGATTAGAAAGTCTTAATTTTAAAATATGACTAAAAAGGTTATGAATAAATAACATACAAAATGAATTATAGTTAATAAAATATATATATCTTGTATCTTCTATTTTGTTGCATACCCAAACATGCTGCGTTGGAAGTGGTTGGCATGACTGCACAAGTTGTGACTTAACAAAATTTAGGAAATATTGTGTAAGATTTACCCACTAACTTTACCTTTGCATCTTCTTGGGTAATGTTACTGTCTGTTTCACCAGAGATACTCAATAGAAGAAAATGAAAAGCATGCCAGCCAACCCCTAGAGAACTGTCACAATCCACAGAATCTCAACATTTCTGTGCTGAACTACAATTCTCATTTCAGAATTCTGGCAGTGCTAACCTGGTACCTGGTATCCTATCGGGTTAGATCTCTGCCACAATTCTGCGCGCGAAAGATCATATTTTGAGCGCACAAAAGTGCATTTTGCACACGCACGATCTGAGTTTTGGTGGAGAAAATGTTCGTCTCGCAAAGAAAAAAGTATTTTGAGCGCACTAAAATCAATTTTGCATTTAAAATAAGTTTATGGATGTGTGCAGACCTTCTCTTTTGCGTGTGCAACGTTTCACTAGCTTACTCCCTTGATGCCCACCCTCAGTGCTCTCTAAATGCCGACAGCTGGCTTGCTCAACACAACCCTGCGTTACAATATGCCATAATTCCAGCCAATCAGAGATGAGGCTGCTAAATTTTGATTGGCTGCCTTGACAACCAATCACAACATTCCTTGCATTACTGATGACAGCAGGAAGAGGGAAAATACAGTGCATGCATAATTATTATGCAAGTTGATATTCTGATTATATATTTTTTTCCAAGCACATTTTACCAATTCCAAACAACATCAATCTTAATAACTACTATTAATCTTGTATTTAATCACTAATAACGATATATAATTGTTCATGAAGGCTGGAAGTGAAAAACGATGCACACCTTATATTCAGGTGTGCATAATTATTAAGCAGGTTATCTTCTACAGATAAAATCTCGAGATGGACTAAAAATGAACTCCCAAAACTTACTGCCAGATTCTGGAAGATTAATTCTTCAAACAGTGGTACTCTTTGTATGTTTAATAACGCTACACTGCTAATATTTGTCATAAACATCCTTTATTGCTATAAAAATATCATGAGCTGCATACAAAACACATACAGAAAATATATAGTCACAATCATATGTCTATTTGCTTTCATATTCATATTCATTTCATATTTCATGTGTAGAAAAAGAGTGAACGCGCTCTGACTCATAACACTCGCGCACGTGGAAGAAAATGGACGTTGCTCTACAGACCACATAATTCAGTGGACAATTAATAGAAATGTTATTCTGTATAAAGAACATGTGAGAATAAATCTATTCTCAAATACCAACGATAACTAGAACAGCATCCACTCTCTTCTCTTATCCGGGATACTCTTCGTCTGTGTTTGTTTACACTGGTTTTCGAAACAGCGCCACCACTCTTGCCTTTTTGTGAAACAGCAGCTGCTCTGGTCACGTGAACCTAGCTCAAATCTTATTGGACGGCCCGTGTCTTTGCTTTGCGAAACTGAAAAGATTCGTCGGACTGGTTCGAAAAAAAACATTTGCATTTTCGGTGCACGAATGTTTGCGGTCTATGTGGAAGCATCCATAGAAATCTATTTTTTTATTCCAGCACGTCATCGTGTCCGATATTCATGCATTTTTCTATGATTTTGACTGACGCTGCTGACCCACTGAGCATTTTGCTGTCCAATGGTTATGCATTATGCATTAAATTCCTAGTATTGTATTAGTTTTGAATATTTCTCATGGCCATTTAATAATTTTTACTTTCAGTCTGAGTTAAATCTCTTTTTTGGCTCATTTTATCTGTAAAAGAAAATCTGCTTAATAATTATGCACACCGTGTTAATTTTGTCAGCTATTTTCATTTTAGTCTTAGTCCCGGGCTAAAATGTTCTTGTTGGTTTTGATTATATTTAGTCAACTTAGTCAACCTTAGTTTTAGTCAAGTTTTAGTCGACTAAAAGTCTCAACATTTTAGTCTAGTTTTAGTCATTTTAGTCAAATTTAGTTTTAGTCAAGTTTTAGTCGACTAAAAGTCTCAACATTTTAGTCTAGTTTTAGTAGTTTTAGT